ACGAAGCTAGGATCGAACACACGAACTTGATCTTTGCAGACGAACTGCAAAATCAACTTCGCTGTTCTTTCCTATATTCTGCACAATGATTGAAGTTGTGCAATGACTCGATGTTATCCTTCAATGTGTATTTTTTTATTGTGTTTTTGTGCTTTGTTGTTGGTGATTGATGTTATCGAGCTTTTCCATCGTCTATTGCAGAGAATATAATCAATTTGATTTCGATGTTGTCCATTTGGTGTTTCATGAGTATAAATATAATGTTCTTATTAGCTGATAATCGTTATTTTGATTTCTTCGAAATTGTTCATGATTAAGTTTTGTTATGGCTGATGACGTCGTCGCAATTGATTTGTAATATTTGGACTGCTTCGATTGTCAATAATACGTCTTGTGTTGATAAATGGTGTTTGTTTGAATGTTTGATTCCATAGTTGATGAATATCTTTTTTATAGCTTGCGAGTCGTTTTTCATGCGTATAATGAATAATGAGACTGGTAAGCCATTTTGTTTCTTTATCAAGTTTTGTTTGAATTAACAGATTATTTATATTATCTTTGGATTCGATTATAGTTGTTTTGGCTATTCGGGAAGCTATTTGATATTCAGGAGTCGTCGATTTGTTGAATAATTGTTGATGCACGGCGACAAAGGCATTTTCATTATCAGTCCAAGGTGAAGCGCACGATGTTGATAGATAATCTGTAAAAAATTCCATCAGTCGAGTATGGAATCCATACTATGGATATATCTCAGTGGATAACTATCAGTGGAAAATAAGCAATAAAAGATTAGAGAATAAGAAAGAAAAATTGCCCATTATAAAGTAACATTAGCTTGATGGAACGTCGTTCATGAACGAAAGTTGACGTTATAGATGAATAACGTAAGTTACGGCTCGTAGAAGAGCACCGTCAATAATATTGGTGAAAACATGTCGAGGATGATCAGATTTGATGGTTCAGCTGTTTGTTTGCGATATACTGATGTCGCCAAAACGTCATTCTTGTTTTCAATAAAGATGTCAAGAACTGGTAAACTTGTACCAAGTTATCGCACTAATTTGATATTTGGATGAAAATTGTTAGCTTCATCTAATATTTGATTGATTATATCCAATGATTCATTTGAAGTGAAGAAGATATCATCAATATATCTTTGAATAACAGAAGTAAGAATATTTTAAAAATAAACGAAACTTATCGGCCATAGATTTCATTTGGTGCCTCCTGTCGACCAACGAGTTCTTTTTCCCATTTCCACATAAATATATTAGCTAAATTTAAAGTAAATGCTGATCCCATTGCATCCCCATTAATCTGTCGATAGAATTTCTTATCCAAGATAAAAACATTTTCTGTGATGACAATACGAGCTAAAATTTCCGTACAGCAACAATGGAAATGTTTTTCACTTTATGATAACCATGTTCAAGAAGAAATTCTGTAAGAATATTAAATGATTCTTCTTGCGGTATCATCGTATATAAGTCGAAAATATCAAATGTACATAGATAAGTAGTTGATTTACGATATTCTTTGGCAGTATACATTTCTAGACGACGAATAAGATCAACACCATCAATAATCGTAGTTGAACGAACATGTTTATCAAATAATGGCCGAAGTAATTCATCTAGCAGCTTTGAGGCCAGTTGTCGGTGCATTTATTGAAGACACGATCGGTCTTAATGGTGTCCCTTCTTATTAGAACAAATAAAAGAAATGATGATATCATAAAATGAAGTTAAAGGTTATTTACTTTGTGTGGTTTGGCTATCTATATATATAAAGAAGAAAGTTTGTTTGTATGTTTGTTTGTTTGTTCTCTATGCATTCAGTCCCTGTAAGAGCTAAAGCAGCCAAAATTTGCATGGCACACCCTTGGGTCCAGGGGAAGGTC